GATGGTACTTGGCTACTCTTAGATCATTGCCGCATTCTATTGAGTCAGAAATGCAGAAGGTAAGAGTTAGCTTGACATCAACAATTAACCTCTTAAACTGAGTAGAACTGTCATGGTCTGATACCTTACAGGTGATACAACATGACTTGGTTGCTGCAAGGCAAGAAGACAGGAAACTGCGCCACTGCAGGTTAGGGACTTGAAGATTTTCCTAGGTCAATTTTACTCAGAGCATCAACTGCTTTTATGTTATTACGTACTAACTCAAAACACTGAATTTATTTCAGGCCAACTATTATGCAAATCCCAAACACTACAACCCTGTTTTCCGTGAAATAAATTGCCCCTTATGCATCTGTAATTGGTATGCTTTACACGCTGCTATCAACTTTTTCAGGCAAAACAGTAGGGTTAATGACATTTACTGAGTGTTTTACTTGGAATATAAATTAAGAAGGATTCTGGAAATATTACGGTTATCCATTTCATCTTTTCGTAATGATAATTTTATTTTTCACAAATTTTCGGCTGGCAGTGAATTGCATGTATTGGGATAAAAGATTTCCTCGCACAGAAATAAGAGCAGGGCATTCTTCCTTCCTGATATAGCCTATTCCTTTTTCTCTCACACTCACAAGGCTCAGAAGGAAAACATGCCACTTCTAGACAAGGTCTAGTCTTATTTTGCATTTGCAGATTTTATGAGCACGGCAGTGATTGATAAATACCTGTTTTGCTTCATTGCCAGTTTATCATTGTTGGGATCTCTGATGTCAGATTAAGTTATAGAGGCCAATGAAGTTAGCAATCAAAGCACATATTACTGGTATAAAAATAAAACGACAGAAACCATTAACTGTGATAAAGGACAGCATTCAAGATACAAAAATTTGGCACCCATTCTGTAATTCCAGAAAATAATGATGTCTTCCAATATTCTTAAAAAACAGAAACTCGCGAAAACAAAAGTACCACAATGCGCTAAAATCAAAAGGATAAAACAAAAACAAAAACAAAAAATATCCCCAAATCC